TACTTGTCATGTTCTCATGTTATTGCTAAGGATTGTCTATTGCATTGGAGTCACACTGGGTTAAATATGTACACTTGGGTTTTAAGGGGTATTTATTATTTTCTTCTTTTTTGGGTTGTATGGAAGCCCCAAACGCAATTTCATTGTTCTTGACAATGACAATAAATAAATACTACTATACTACTAATTATGCACAGTAATAGTCACCTGCACACACAGATATCCCCCTAAAATAGCTCAAACTAAAAACAAACTAAAAACTACTTCCAAAAACATTCAGCTTTGATATTAATGAGTTTTTCGGGTTCATTGAGAACATGGTTGTTGTTCAATAATAAAATTATTCCTCAAAAATACAACTTGCCTAATAATTCTGCACTCCCTGTATATTTCCCCCCCATGTCCATCACCACAATCGACTTGAGTCGAGTGACAAAGACCTAAGCGTGATGACAACATGTTGGTAATCTGTCTGCATTTATACATTAAGCAGGAACTCCAGCAACACTTGAGGGAAGATGAACAACTTTAATAATTGACCAACGCGTTTCGGCTTGTGGCCTTCATCAGGGTCATAGTAAAACATTGTAAAAAATTGCTTAAATACAAGACAGGAAACAGAAAAAAAGTAAATACCGGACTAGATCATTACTGATGAGGAGGAGGGGGGGTGACATAACCCCCATATGTCTGAAAATAACACATGCATGAAATGCATAAGGTGGATGCTATAAATATACACACAGGTTTAAAAAAAAAAATAATTTATGTCTCTAAAATGTAAAATCTCTAAAATTTAGACTTAAATTGTAGACTTAAGATGAGATGTCTAAAACGTTACTTCTTCTTTGGCTAAAATAATAAGCTTAATTGAATAAACATTACTCATGTGAGAGTAATTTAACTGATTAAAAAAAAGGAGGTGTAGTTCATAAAAACTCATTGATCCTCTCCATGCACCTTGGAAGCAGGTGAAGTTGTGCCAGAAAATTTTTGCTGCATTTATACATTAGACAGAAGTTATGTGAAAAACTTTGACTCTCTCTGAGAGTAATTGCAGTCTGTCCAAAGACTGTTGTCCTATTTTCAATCGCATGACCGGGCACTTAGCTTGCTCTGAATTAGAGTGTGTCCGGTGTCGAATGTTTGTTGGGGTTTTTTTGGTTTTTTTTAATATAGACGATTTAATGTAAGTTTGCTTGGCTAACGTTATCTCAGGATGGTGGTGCATGAGATGAGCCACTTTGCTTGTAGTATTCCCAGAGTTTTTTAAATGTATTTGATAAAATATTGATATTTGGTGTTTCTATATTGATATAATACCCCCAAGCAAAGTACTGCAATACTATACGGTATTACAACATTTTCCCCACCCCTACAATATATTAATATTAAATATAAATAGAGACATCTGACAGATGAACTGATAAACCTGCGGTTTGCCTCCACTTATCACCTCAGAGAGAATGCTCACTTCAAGGGACACACAGGCGTTTCTGATTGTTTGCCTTTATGCTATGAAACATGCCAGTAGGACACAAGGAACTGAAGTTATCAAGTTTTGCTTTGATGAACAAGCAAGTTATAACATGCAATTAGTTAGCTTGTGAATCTGTAGCTGTTGTAACTTGCAGAGCCTGGCTAGCTGTTTACCTTTCATCTGGCCTCTGCGTTAAGCTAAGATAGTCATCTTTTTTATCTAATTCGTGACAAGACAGTGAGTATGTGTGAAATGTCAACCTGCTCCTTTAACATCAAGATAACTCTAGTGCTTCTTTGGATGAGATATTTTTCCAACTTCGGGCTGCTTAGTGTTACTGATAATCGCTCAAAGTAAAGTCAACACTTCTTAAAAGATCTAAACACTGAAAGCAGTCTTTAGCGAAATGACTGCGGTAATTAGCTAACAGAGCACCCTGCTAGTTGATGTATGGGTGTGTATTTTAAGTCAAGCAATTTCTGTCCAATTTTGATAATAGCATCTCTAAGGCTAATTTCATCGAAAACACAGCTCAGCTTATTAGAAGTGTGAGCCTTCACTCTTTCGCTTTAATTCTCTGTCTTCTGTTTTCCTGTTATTTCATCTCCAGACGTCACACATTCTGCCCCCTCCCCCTGAAACAGCATCCCAACACCCCCCAGTACCCACCCCAACAATCACACACTTCAGGTCACACACAAACCAATCTGCCCTCAACACACACCACCCAGCACCTCTGGCTAATCACTTCAAAGGAAGATGCTATCAGTCTAAAGAGAGACCCACTCAAGTAACTAAGAGAGCGCTCCAATCTGATGAGCAGCACGGAGCGCTTAAATAGCAAAACACGTCACTTCTTGTACTTTAGGAGGTACGCTCCATCCTCTAATTAGCATGTTGTCAAGAACTGAGCTAAGACAAAATTCCAATTTTGGGGCTCGGAGAAAAAGCCCTTGTCCACTTGGGGGCTTGTAAATCCCGATCAGTTCCAGAGAAAGCAGTTAAGAGGCTTAATGTTGCAGTAGCCATTAGACTACTCTATGATAATTTTTTAAACATTCAAGGAGGAAGAAACAAGCCTAAAAGAAAGCAGACCGTGAGAGCAACAAAAAGAACAAACAGAGACGAGGAGGGCTGACAGAAAGAAAGATCTCCTGGTGTTTTTCCTTAAACCTACCACTCCCTTTATTCCTCTTCACCCCAAATTCTGCACACCAAGAACATCAAGGAGCTGTTTGTTTGATCAATAGTAGGCCTGGCTTTACTTGGAGTCTCTCCCAAAGTTGGACTGTAACAAAGCAACCAATGCTTCTCCTGTTAACTCTTCTTAATACAGCTCTTTAAGTTCTGAATCATTTGCTTGGACAAGATTTTAGAAAGTATTAATATTGACATTAATATGAAAGAAAACGGATACAAATGTCTGACGGATACACCATAATTTAAACTCTGCTAGTGTCACTACACTTTGTTACACTTTAAAAGACATGAGCATGTAGGTGGCAGGAAAGGTCTCATGCAAGGGTCACTGCTGAGCTGCATTATGACTGCACTGCTTCTGCACCCACACGAGAGGCAGGAATTCTTAGACTCCACTGATTTGATATTGACCATTCCTGAGAATCATCATGCTTTAGTGATAGCTGTCATTACGGTCGTGGTTACACAGCAAACAGGAACTATCAGCGACCAGTACTTTAAATGGCAAATACAGCATTTAAAAAATGGCACAATTATCCTAGATTACACAAAACGGAAAGACAAAAAAGGATTTAAAGAGTGAAACACGAGGAAAACCATTAGTGGCGGAGGGCAACAATGGTCAATACATGTTTGTGTCTACTGGTGTGTGAACTGGAGAGAATAAAGAGGGCGGGGGACACTTTGATGACTCTTAAAGATGATCTTTGACCCTTTAAAAAGGTTAAGAGGCAAATTTGGGGAAGAGGGATTACAAATAATCTCCCCAACCTTAGGGTGATTACAAGTCATGCACAACAGCCAGGAATTTGGGATTAAGTGTCACACAAGAACCAAAACATACTAGTGTGGGGTATGTGGGCTGTTTACATGATGATAAAACAGAACTCCTCCATACAGGGAGGCCCTGGAGCTACTGGTGTCTCTTCCTTTAGAACATCTTACCTTGTTTGGAGGGCTAGAGGGTCGAGTTTGTTCTTCGTATGCCGGGACATTTTCCCACGTTGCCACTACAGCGTGTGTGGGTGTGAAATTTGCATCTGGGAACCCCCGGTGTACTTCCTAGGCGAGGAGATGAATGAACGAATGAGGGAGGAAGGGAAAGGACGACACATGAAATAAGGGAATGAAAGACAAACACTGAGCTGATGGATTGAGACAAACCAAATCTGTAGTTAATTAAAGTTCAACAGGTATTTTTTTCTCTAGTGTTTTATAGCATCTTATGAGTTTTCAACACTAAAACTGTAATCATTACACACCTGTGCGATTCTGTTGAGCACACTGGGTATTTCAGTCACCCTGTAGTAAATCTGTCCTCGCCCTCCGCTTGTGTCAATGTCAGCCAGGAATGGAGCCACCACAGGGAAGTCTGTGGGGAATCCGTCATCAACGTATTGCTTCTCCATTGGCAAGTCCTGGGCTGATATGATGCCATTGGTGGCCACCTAAAGGGAGGGAAAGCTTTAGTTTGGAATATTTGGAATACTATCACGAACCCAACAAACCTCCTAATGAACCCATTCGCCCTTGTAAACCACTAGAACCCCTTCATGGACTCCAGGAACCACATAATGAACCCCTATTTTCCTCAAAAACCACTGGAACAACCTCGGGGTGCCCTCCCAAATTTTTCTGATCAAGATTTAGAAAAGTTCTGACCACATGCAGCCACAGCTGTACTCAAGCAATTCAATATTTCCATTTGATGCTATTTCACAACATTTTAGAAGGAGATTTTTACAAGGCTGTAGATAGATCCCCGTGAGTCAAAAGATCAGTTTTTTCTACTCTTGGCTCTGTATGACATCAGTCAGAGGGACTATCCCTAATATGGTCATTGAGAGCCCAAACCTTTGACTGTGAGCACAGAAGCCCCACCCAGCTGTGTGTTAAAGTGATGTACACATCAAAGCATTAATATTGGTATTCCTGATTATTAAAGTGGCCATGTTGCATAATGAGCATTCTCACATGTGACAGTATTAATCAGTGCAATGTTGCTACCACTTAAACCTATCTATCTATCTATCTATCTATCTATCTATCTATCTATCTATCTATCTATCTATCTATCTATCTATCTATCTATCTATCTATC